CAAACAAACACGGGCCTGACAGGGTCGCCTCTATACAGCTCGTGGATGCTCCGCCAGATGGACGCGTGAGGCGCTCTGGCAGAAGCATGACGACCCTCCCAGGCCATTCCCTCGACCTGCAGCTGTAAATGATCAGTCACGTACGTGGCTGGCCTCTGGGCCCTCTGCAGGGCCTTGAGACCAACAACGCGCTCGGCCCTGGGCACCGTCTGGATAGGGCCCCCCAGGCTCCCGAACAAAGCTTTGTATGGCCACAGGTCTCGGGTCAATGCTACGACGGCCCAGCCACAGCGCCGTTCCTCAGGGAAATCACTTACAAGACAGGACCCGTCCCCGTACAACTTCGACGGCCACGGCATGTCGATCGCCCCCCACTCGCGCTCAGCCTGAGCACGTGCAGGCAGCGGCCTGAAAGCAGGCCACAGGGGCAGCGCGTAGAGCACGTCGACGGCCGAGAAGTCCTGCACCTGGCCCCCGTCGCGCCACGGGGCTGCCTCCAGGATGTCCTTCCTCCTCTTGGCCACCTCTTCGGGGTACGGCTCCGTCTCCTCGTCCTCCTGCTGCTGATGCAATACCGTGCAGCCGAAGATCTCATGCTCGAGGTCGCAGCAGGCCCCCCCGCAGAACTCGCACGAACCGTCGCCGCCGTAGCCAACCTGCATGCGGCGCTGCGGCGACCAGAACCCGTTGGACTGCAGCTTGGCCAGAGCCCCTCTGTGGCCAGGCGCCAAGGAGGCGTGTCCCAGTCGAAGCGCACGAAGCCACACATGCTGCTGCCGCCTGCCGTCACCATCGGCTGGGGGCGCCACAGGCAGCTGGTCGAGGATACGATGGCTCTGCCAACGGTCGAGGCTGCGACGCAGGAAAAACAGCACCTCACTGGGACAATACTGCAGCAAACTGATATGCAGGCCCTCATCGTCAACCAAGATTGTAGAACTTGCCATGTTCCAGTTAACTCTCCTGAGGGACAACCACAAGGCCGAAAGCGGGCCCTGCGCACTGGCCCACGTGACGTGAGTGTGGCGGGCTTCCCAGGAGTCACGCAAGCCCATCCAGGCCCGCTGCAGTCGGGAGAGCGTCACACGCCCATCCCACACCCACGCCGCGTACTGCCCCACGATGCTGAAGGTATCGTGGAATATGGGGTCGAAGCTCCACTGCTGCGCGGCCAGGTACAGCGTCAGGGAGCCCGACCCTTTGTAGCCACAGAAGACGCCAGCCATGGTCCTCATCTGCTGCAGCTCCGTGTCGCTGATGCCGCTGACCGTGGCTCCGTGCCCCGCGGATGGCAGCACACCCGTGGCCCAGAGCCGAGCCGCCCGCTGTCGTCCTGCTCCCTTCTGCAGTGCTCGAACGCTGGCCTTCTTTCCGTGCATGGCATTCAGGCGTCCCTTCTGCACGGCCCTTGTGGCCGACGACCCAGCTAGGTCGTGGCCAAGATACCGCATGTGCCTCTTGCCAGCGATCTTCAGCAGCCTGGCGTACTTCTGAAAGTGGTAGCTGGTGCGCCTGGACGTCGTAAGGTGCCCAGACTTATCCATCTGCAGCACCAGCCCGAGGGGCCGGACAGCCCTGCAGAAAGCACGAGTGGCAATGGCCATTTCTCGCACCCCGCTCGGCTCGTTGCCGACCCAGCACAGCGCGACGTCGTCCACCAAGTCCTTGGGCTGAGCCTGAGGAGCGACCGACATCGTCTGGCGAATGCTGCGAGTCAACAACACCATGAGAAGCGTAGTGGCGTGGGTGCAGCCTGCCAGGATGCCCTGATACGCCCTGCGCGCCACTGAATACGAAGAATACGAGTGCACCGAGCGCAGCTGCTGGTACATCTGCACAAGCATGAACGCCATTCGCATAGGGTATCCACTGGCCCTGCACTCCAACAAAATGGCATCATGCCTGACCAGCTCGTAGCATTTGAGCATGTCCAGCAGCACAATGATAGCGTCGTCATCGCACAGGGTCGCCATCTCCTTGGTGAGCGCCAAATCAAAGGCCGCATCACTCGACGACTTGCCTCCAGTGTGGCCCCAGACCTCTGGTAGCGCATGGGCCTTCTCCCACGCTGCCGAGACAGGCCGCCTCGCCCGTCCCCAGATCCTGACCGGCGTGTTCATCAGCACAATCAGGCGCTCCCCACCCCCTGGCTTGGGGAGTCTCACGAGCTTCGAGAGGAATCTGCCGTCTGGCCACAGCAGGAGGTGCTCGCACCGCTCGAAGAGGCGCGCCTTAGCCGTCAGCGCCCCGTGGGAGAGGTGCTCCATGGCCCTGGGCGCGATGTTGATCTGCCCGACGCCTGTCTGCCAAGAGAAACAACGGATTGCCTTGTGTACGTCGGCCGCCTCAAGCCTTGGCAGCTGCTCCCAAGTGTCAGCATCAACAGGTCGGCGAGCCAGCTCACCGCCATGCCGCACCCAGAAGCTTTCCCAAAACTCAAGCTTACGATCAGCCAGTACGTACCCATGTTGTAGCCCATTGCCTCCGTCCACGATCTCCTGGAGAGCCTTGGGCTTCATGAATCGGTGAGCTCCCTTGGCTCCAGCCACAAAAGCTGCCTGCGCCCACTGCCTCCAGCTCTGCATCGCGGCCTTCTCATGCTTGGCCTCAGCATCGGAGGAGATACTCAGGATGCGGTCGACCTGCTGCTCGAAGTCTGCCTGCGCCAGGGCGAGTATGCCACGCGAAAAGAAGCCGACGGCCTCGGCGTCCAGGTGCGGCCAGACTCCCTTCCTCCGCCAGATCCTCTGGAAGAAATTCTCGCACTCCAGCAGGTGGCGCGCCGCCTTGGAGTGCACGGCGTCCCACGATAGGTCCTCGCCTGCACGTCGCAGGGGCTGGTGTCGCTGAGCTCTCGACCGAGGCCGACCACCATCGGAGGAGAGACCAGCCACTCCGACGACCTCCGCAGCAGGGGGTGCCCCATCGCCCAGGCCAGGCACTCCGTCGACGTGCGCCTCGCCGACGCTGCCGAGCTCGAAGACCTGCTGCGGGCGAAGCTGGAGCACGAAGCTCTGCAAGGCCACTCGAACCCTCCTGAGGTGACGAGCCCAGCGCGCAGCCTGCGCCCAGGCCTGGGTGTCCGCCGACCTCCTGCTCCAGGCACCTTTCACGACAGGGTGAAAACTCGCCAGCTCGAAGGTCGGGGGGCCTGGCACCGTGGAGTACCCCGCCACGTCCTTCACGACGTCGTAGCGGCCCCGCAGCTCGAACTCGATGCCGCTGAGCACGACGCCCCAGGCCCTGGTGATGCCCTCGCTGTGCGACGCGCTCTGGATGATCGCCAAGGTCGGGTCCCAGTCCGGGGGGAACCTCGCGCACCCCGCCGCAGGCGGCCTCCGAAAGCCGCGTGGCTCGACAAGCCTCCTGACCTTCGCGTCAAAAGCCGTGGCGGAGAGCTCCATGGTCACTGGTAGATGCGGCCACGTCTCCGCGTCGACGACCACTGGTTGCCGAACGCGAGGCAGCAAACGGCAAGAAACCATGAACATGTCAATGGTGCGGCCAGGAAGGCTCTGAAGACAAGTCGGCTCTCTCGGCGCCAGCACCACGCCAGTGGCCGACTGGAGCCAGGACAACGGGCCGAGCTCGCCTACCTCCATGTTGAAGTCGCCTCCTACGATCCACGGAACACCCATGGCCTCCAGCGACCTGACCTACTGGTACAGCTTGTACAGCATGGCCAGGTTCTCGGGCGACAGCTTGACGTCCACAATGAAATAGCACGACAGCATGACGAAGCCGCCCTTCACCCCAGCGTGGACGTGGGCCGCCATCATCCTGCCTTCCTGCAGCACGTGACTGTCCAGGCCTGGGGGTTTGGTGATGACCACCCGCAGCGGGGCCAGCACCGCAACCCCGCCTCTGCTGCCAACTCCCTGCCCAGGTAGGGCGGGCTCCCATATACCATGGTACCCAGCAGCTCTTACTTTATTCTGCAACTTCGCCAAAGCATCGCCCTCGGCCTTGGCATGATGTTCCTGCACCGCGATGCATAAACTCGAGCACGTGGGCAGGAAGTCGACGAGCGGGCCGCCCGAGGACACGTTCACGGTGGTAATACTTGAAACCGACGCCATGGTGCGACAAAGGAGGACGAACCACACAAGACACGCAAAACATCGCCGTGGAGCCATGCTAGGCAGGGGTGAGCCTGGGCCTCTTGACCTTGGCACCCCAACGCATGAAGATCTCCTCCAGCCTGTGTTTCTCGCCCCCAGCCGCAACGACTTCCTCCATGAACTCAGGGTCGTCGGAGAAGGCAGATGGCTGTGGTGTGCGAGGCGCTGCCGCGTCGTCCTGCCGCTCGGCCTGCTCGACGTCGGGACCAGCCTCGGCCCCAGCATCCGCCTGCGCCTTCTGGGCAGCCAACTTTGCCGCCTCCTCCTCCTGCAACCTCTGCAGCTCCTGGAAGCTCGCCGTGAGGCTGCCCGACAGCTGGTGATCGGCGCCCAGGCTCTGGTGCAAGATCCCGAGGCCCTCGAGCGTGGCACCAACCCCCTTGATCGGCTCGTCGAAATGAAAAACGATAAAAAAAAAAAAAAAAAAAAATTATAAAAAAAAATAAAAAAACAAAGAAAAAAAAAAAAAAAAAAAAAAGAAAAACAAAAAAGAAAAAAAAAAAAAAAAAAAAAAGAAAACAAAAAAAAAAAAAAAAAAAAAAAAAGCCGACGCCTTGTCGCCAGGCGTCGGAACCTGCCCTTGAAGCCTCTTGCGCTCCTGGTCCAGCTCCTCCATGCTAGCGTCGAGGGCCGCCAGCTTGTCCCGAGTGAGCCGGTCCTTCTCCTGCAGGTCGCGCAACTGCGCCTGCAGCCCATCGAGCTTGGTCTGCTGGTCGTCGCGCAGCTTCTGCAGCCTGGTGAACTGAGTTCCCATCTCGCGCTAGCGCTGTCCGAGCGGTCGGGACTCCGCCACCCTAGCCCGCAGCTCGGCCTGCTCGGCCAGCAGCTTGTCGCGCGTGGCCACGACCGACGGCTCGGTGATGCCCTTGAGCTTGCCGATGAGGTCGCCGACCTCGCGAAGCCTGTCCTTGGCGACGGACTCGGGGCCGTCTCCGTCCGCGGCCGGCTCCATCTGCACGTCCTCCCCGCCAGGCGGCGGCCTCTGCACAGCGGCAAGCCGCTTGCGGGCCTCGGCGAGCTCGGACTTGAGCTTGGCCACCTTGACGGAGTCGTCCCAGTAGCCGTTGCCGCTGCCGCCCTGATTGCCCTGCTTCCGCTGGGAGGGGGCCGCGGGCTGGCGCACGCTGTGGAAGACCAGTCCCTTGCCCAGCTTGCACTTCGCACACTGCCGCGCCTCTGCATGATTCCACCACGGTCTCCCCGAGGGCCCGCAGCAGCTCTTGCAGTACCAAGGAAGCGCCTGCTCCGAACGGTAATGCGGCGGTGGCATCTCCACGACACCAGGCAGCAGCACACACGGTGGGCCGTGGCAGCGCGATCTGGAAAGGACTGGGTGTGGGCGCCCAACTCCCACGGTGAAGGCGAACGGTGGTCTGGCCGCGGACTAGCGGTATCCGTGCGGTCCCCAGGGGAACCAATCATCTTGAGCCAAAATGGCTACGGAGGAGGAGGAGAAGGAGGAGGAGGAGGAGGAGGAGGAGGCGGAGGAGCAGGAGGAGGAGGAGGCCCTGGGCCCCCCTGCGGCTGGCAGGGCGCCCACGCCGGCCGCTCCTGCGGCTGCCGCGCGGCCGAGCCCTGGCGCGCCAGCGAGGCGCTCGACGCCTCTGCCGAGACCGGCTGGGAGCCGGCGGAGGCGCGGCTGGCCTGGGGCGCGTCGGGCGGGCGGCCACCGACGTCGTCGTCGTCGTCGTCGTCGTCGTCGTCGTCGTCGTCGTCGTCGTCGTTCGTCGTCTCTGTTGTCGTGTTTGTCGTCGTCGGCGTCGACGTCGACGTGGTCACCGTCGCCGCTGCCGCCGCCGTCACCGTCACGGCCACCGTCGTCGTCGCCTCAGCTGTCGTCGTCATCGTCTTCGTCTTCGTCTTTATCGTCTTTGTCGTCGTCGTCGGCGTCGTCTTTGGCGTCGACTTTGTCGTCGTCGTAGTCGATCGTCGTAGTCGTCGTCGTCGATCGTCGTCGTCGTCGATCGTCGTCGTCGTCGTAATCGTCGTCGTCGTCGTCATCGATCGTTGTGGGCTCGAGGCGCCCCGCCACCACGGCTGGACTCCCGCTCGAGAGGCTTGGGCGGCAGGCTCAGCCGAAAGAGGCCCTCGGAGTCGAGTGCTGAGGGGGCCGAGAGGTGCTGAGAGGGCGCCTCGGCTCGAGAGGGGGGAGGAGGAGGAGGAGGAGGAGGAGGAGGAGGAGGAGGAGGAGGAGGAGGAGGTAGGAGGAGGAGGAGGCGGAGAGGAGGAGGAGGACGAGGGTAGGAGGAAGGAAGGAGGAGGGAGGAAGGAGGAGGAGAGGATGAGGACGGAGGAGGAGGAGGAGAAGGATACGACCGGTAGACGGGGCGGAGGAAGGAGGAGGAGGCGAGGAGTAGGAGGAGGAAAGAAATGAGGCGGAATAGGAGGAGGAGGAGGAAGGAGGAGGAGAAGGAGGACGAGGAGGAGGAGGAGGAGGAGGAGGAGGAGGAGGAGGAGGAGGAGGAGGAGGAGTGGAGTGGAGCAAACCGAGACGCGGTCGAGCAGGTCCCCTGCGCCCGCCGCGCCCAGCCGCTCGCGACAATCCGCGAGCGAGGCGGCGCGCCCCAGCACGGCGCAGGACGGAGGGCCCCCACCCACAGGAATATGGCGGGCAGACCCTCGGTCTGTGGTGAAGCACCGCGGCCCGCGGCCTGGCCAGCGGCCCGCCACGCGGGCAACCTGGCCTGGCCGCGTCAGCCGCGCTGCCCGCGGCAGGCTGGCGGCGGAGACGGCCGACATGGCGGGCTGCAGCGGGGGCGGGTGGGGCGGCCGCGGCGGCTGCACTGGCGGCAACGCCGACCCGCGCGCACGTGGGCCACGGCCAGCGTCGCGACGCATGTCGGCAGCTCCAGCAGTAGCCCCGTTCGTGGAGCCTGGGCCCTCGGCCGTCTCGGGCTCTCCTGCTCCTCGACGAGCTCCCGCTGCTCCAGCTCGAAGTCGGGGATGACGTCGGCCACAGCGTTGGACGACGTCGGGCTCGACGTCGAGGTCCGCCCTGCCCTCGCCCGGCTCGGGCTGGTCCGTCTCCTCGACAGGCTCCCACTGCTCAGGCGCGTCGTCGGGGATGACGAAGGCCCCGGCGTCGGGAACGGCGTCGGGCTCGGCGCCGAGGTCCGCCCTGAGCGTGGTGGTGGCTGCCGTGAGCAGCGAGCTCGCGATGCGGCGATGCAGGCCCGCCATGCCGCCGAGCTGGGCTGGTCGCAGCTCAGCCACATGTGAGATGGGGCGCTGCTCGGCCCACTGGGCCCAGCAACGGACGGGGTACCCGTAGCTAGGGGAGACGCACCGCTCCTCGGGCGAGCAGTGCCATGGAGGGCAGCCATCGCCAGCCCACCCTCCGAAGCCGTCGACCCGTCTTGCTGGGCACACATGGCCTAGCTGTAGCGCCCCGCGCCAGCCACGTCAGCGCCTCCCGCTGCGGCCCGCCCAGTAGCGCCTCGGCCCTCGGCAGCGGCGCGGCGCACGATGGCCGCAGTGGGGTGTCTGGTGCGCTGTGTCCAGCACGATGTAGCCGCAGTCCGCGATGTGGTCCGAGGAGTGCTCCAGGGCGAGGACCAGCACCTCGAAGTCCATCTGCTCGGTGCTGGACGCCGTGTCGAGCTCCACGTCACTGCCTGCATCACCGCGCTCCGATTTGGGCTGGTCACGAGCTCTGACAGCGGGACCTTCTAGGCTCGGATCCGAGGCGTGGGCGCTGTGATGGCAGTCCCCGACATGACTGACCACTGCGCCGCGCTTATCACCTCCCCCAGCGAGATCGACACCACCGTCGCGCTCAGCAGCAAGTGAGGCACGTACTTCCGCTGTTGGTCCTCCGGCTTGCGGTCTGACGCGCGAGCTGTGCACCCGCGCGGCGGGCGGCCTCGCGCCACGGGCGCGCCTATGCCTGGCCCACCAACGGGGACCTCGAACTGATCTGAGCTCGAGCCGTGGGCCATGCCGTGGTTCGTGTGCGCCCCCTCGTCATCGTCCGTCTGGATGTCGCCCATGGCGCGGTCGCGCGGCTGTGCCTTCCTTTGGGGGGGGCTTGGGGTGCTCTCGGAGCTGCTCTCCCACCCCTCGTGGTGATGGCGATCGGAACCCGCCCGCGCTGCCCCTCCAGTAGCGGCGCGCTCTCCGCGCCTCGCGGCAGCGGCAGCGCCAGCGGCAGCCCTGTGGCGCAGGATCGTGGCGCTCGTGGCGCTCAGCGGGCCCACGAGCATCACGACCTCCACGTCGTCCACGTCCAGATCGACGCCGAGCCTGAGCGCACGTGGCGACGGCGAGCCTGGTAGCAGCAATGGCGCACCAAGAAGACTTTGCGAACTACCGCCTGTGGCGACGGAGCCTGGTAGCTGCGCTGGCACACCAAGGCTTTGCGATCTGACGCCAGGGCCCCGCTCGGCATCATGAGCGCCTCCGTCACCCCGACCGTCGCTTGGATGCCCTGCCCCGCCAGCAGCCTGCCGCAGCCGCGCGATCACCAGGGGGCTCCTCCTGGCCCCTCGCCTGCGCTGCAGCTGGCTGGCGCCCAGGGTGCCGCCGTCGTCGACGTTGCGCTCGACGGTGTGCTCGTCGCCGTCGTCGGAACTCAGGACGGCGCCTGCCTTTGTCCAAAGTCCTCGCCGCAGTCGCTCGAACTGTTATCGGCCAGCAGGCGTGGCCCCTTGGCACTCGGCGGGCAGGCTTCGCCCGAGCGCGCGCAACCCGGAACCCTGGCCACGCAGCGCAGCCACATGCGAGACAGGCACACGCGCCCAGCGATACCTGCAGCTGCATCGCATGCGACTTGCGCACCTGCTGGTCGCCGGTGTGCAGCAGGGTGTCGGTTGAGGCAGGACGGGCCCAATCGCCACCACGCGCCACGAGCCCTTTGCATGCGCTTGCAAGCCACGCTGCTCGACTGGTGTGTCCTGCAAACGCGCGGCAACTCCGACAGCTGATCCCGTCGTCGTGCAGCGCATGCGCGGAGCTGAAGACGGTGGCCATGCCGATGGAGGGCGGGGCCGCGCGTCGGCCAGGACGGCGACGAGGTCGACCGCGGGCCTCGGAGGCTGCCGCGGCGTCGACGGTGGCCTTCCGCAATCGCCATCAAACCTGGGTCGCGAGCACCTCCGTGGCCAGCAGCTGCTGCCGAGCACCGCCGCCAGGTCGCCCTCGATCTGCAGCGTGACCAGCCAGCGCGTCGGCGATGGCGCTCCTGCGTAGCACTTCCTGCGGCAGTCCTCGTGCTTGCGCCGCCTGAGGCGCGAGGTGCGAGTTCGCGTGCTCGGCGGTGAAATCGCTCCTAGGGCGGTGAGATACGACGCCCCTCCCTGGGACTCCTCTTCCCCTGGGCTCCAGCCAAGCCGACCTTGAGCAACCTCGTAATTGAGTCGAAGGGAAGCCCCTTCCCTTTGATCCCTCCCCCGCCGGGAGGGGGGGGGGGTAGCGACCCCCCCCCCCGGGTCAGATACGACGCCCCCCCCTGGGACTCCTCTTCCCCTGGGCTCCAGCCAAGCCGACCTTGAGCAACCTCGTAATTGAGTCGAAGGGAAGCCCCTTCCCTTTGATCCCTCCCCCGCCGGGAGGGGGGGGGGGTGTCGACCTCCCCCCCCCCCCCCCCCCCGGGTCAGATACGACGCCCCCCCCTGGGGCTCCTCTTCCCCTGGGCTCCAGCCAGGCCGACCTTGAGCAACCTCGTAATTGAGTCGAAGGGAAGCCCCTTCCCTTTGATCCCTCCCCCCCGGGTCAGATACGAACTGCCCCCCCTGGGGCCCTCCCTCTTCCCCTGGGCTCCAGCCAAAGGCCGACCTTGAGCAACCTCCGTAATTGAGTCGAAGGAAAGCCCCTTCCTTTGGAGGGTGGGGGGGTAAGGCGAACCCCCCCCACCCCCCCCCGGTCAGCTACGACGCCCCCCCCTGGGACTCCTCTTCCCCTGGGCTCCAGCCAAGCCGACCTTGAGCAACCTCGTAATTGAGTCGAAGGGAAGCCCCTTCCCTTTGATCCCTCCCCCGCCGGGAGGGGGGGGAAGGGTAGCGACCCCCCCGCCCCCCCGGGTCAGATACGACGCCCCCCCCTGGGACTCCTCTTCCCCTGGGCTCCAGCCAAGCCGACCTTGAGCAACCTCGTAATTGAGTCGAAGGGAAGCCCCTTCCCTTTGATCCCTCCCCCGCCGGGAGGAGGGGGGGGGGGGGGATGGCGGGGGGGGTTTTAGCGACCCACCCCCCCGAGTTAAGATACGACGCCCCCCCCCCGTACCGACCTTGAGCAACCTCGTAATTGAGTCGAAGGGAAGCCCCTTCCCTTTCCCTTCCCCGACGGGGGGGGGAGAGGAGGCCCCGGGGGGGGTCCGGGGGAGTCCCGGGGAAGTCCCGGGTCAGATACGACACCTCCCTCCCCCACCTTCTCGTCCTTCTCCCCGCTCCCCCAAACCATCCCACGGCCCGTGCCTCTTGCTGCGCATTGCGACCAGGGTCGGCGGCACCGGCCGTCAGGCCTTCGCAATCGCTCCTAGGGCGGTGCTGAAGCACGATGCGTGCATCGAGCCACAGGTCGGCTTCCTGCCCTGCGGCTGCAGAATGCTCGTCGCACCGCTGCCGCCACCCCTCGCAGACCGCCAAGTTGTCGGCGAAGAAAACCGCGGGGCCGCGCGAGTGGCGGGCTGCCGGCGCCAAGGCCTGAAG